AGACCTCATGAACAACAATAAGGGATTATATGAACGTTTGAAAACAAAAAAACTTTCTAAATTACTTAAACCTCCTATCCTAAACTTGAAATAGAAAAATTAGATTTCGTACAAGGACATTTTGTTATTGCATTAATGAATAATACAGACACACAAATACCAATGGCAACAAATTTAAAATATTATTATGAACTTATATCATTCCTTCTTTCTATGTATGTTACCATTTACTGTAAATCTAACAAATGAATGATAGACTTTCAATTAACATGTATATTATTAACTATGTCTTTAGTCATAATATTTGGAATTCAATTAACTACCAAGAAAAAATGAAGGTTAGCGAAAAAACCTGGAGGAATGATATGATTTCTTCAACAATAAGGTTTTTATCAATTAATAGTGGTAAAAATGTTGTCAAATTAAGGTATGTAATAAAAAAAATATGAAAATGAATGAATCACCTAAAATAACAAATATAAATATTTTTTTTTAGTAACAACCAATCTGGCAGTCCTTTGAGATTTCCAGATTATATGTGGCTTTTCTATAATAAAGAAAAGCAATATAGATATGAATTTTTATTTACAGAAGTGTCTTATGGACCCCATGCAGATGGTGCTTATCTGTCACAACATATTAAAGAAGATAGATCTCAACTTGCAAAAATGGCAAAAGAGGGTTGGAACAGTATTTTAAATTTTATAAAAGAATACAGGGATGAAGATTGTATAAAAACACTAAATGAATTGGAAATAATCACTATCCATGTGTATAGTAAGTATATTATTTTTTATATAATAATAACAAATAATTAAAATAATAATTAAATTTTTTAATAATTTAGGAAAAAAACTTGTTAATGTGTCACAATAAAAGTTTTAATAAAAAAATAACATGAATATGCAATTTTTATCAATTTCGTCAGACAAAAAAAATATATTACACATGTATCTATATTGTATTTTTATGAACTTGTTTTTGATGCAAAGTAAGGATAATAAGTGGTGTTATTAGTTAATTAACGGTTGATTTAATTTGTTGTAAAAAACCAAATTTTTAGCTAGTTATCCAGGTATTCACACAGTCCTTGGCAAATTGTTAACACAATACTTGTCGGCAAAATGTCCTGTCGGTGAAGTGTCCTGTCGGTAAAGTGTCTTGTCGGTAAAGTGGGTGTCCTGTCGGTAAAGTGGGTGTCGGTAAAGTGTCCAGGTCCGGTTGTTTTTAGAGAACGTAGAGCTATTCTAGTATAAAAAAAATATAAGATAAAAACCACTGAGAGATTTCCAAACTTGTTTTTCGTTCAGAAGAGATGTCACTCATTCAACTCTCATCCGATTAATTTGATACTTGCCACATATTGAAAAAAATTCTAACTATAAATTCTTCTAAATATATAGTATATTTTAAGATCCATGCTAGTTTTTTTCTTACATATAGAGAAACTATTGGTCTAAAATCCTGTTTATTTATTTGATTCTATAGTTACAAGTTAGCGATGGTGAACACTAGACCGCCAGCTAATACTCTGAAGAAGTAATAAAAGCATTGGTTAATTCTTAATGTAATTAATCTGATAAAATAATATTTTCCCTGACGGTCACATAATGTTCACTACCAGGTAGATTGCCTAATTGTAGATCAGTTTTTTTTCTGAAAAAAGGAATAAAGGTATATAGCAATATATTAATAGAGTACACTAGAATATTTTGATATCGAATTTCTATTATTGGCAAATTTAACAGTTAATTAAATAAATGTTCGTCAATGTGTACAGTTTTATCAAAAATTGTAAATACTCCCAATTAATATGTTTTAAATAACTGATTTAATAATGAACAATTCCAATTATATTATTTTTAAATATAATAATAACGGTAGAGTTAATAACATTAAAACAAATATATGATAAATTATAATTTACTAATTACAATGCTTCAAAGTAAATCAATTCAGTCCATAATGCGAATGTGGCTTCGTTTCACCTAAAGATTTTACAATTAAAGTGAGATATTTTGTCATTTTTAAATTTCTATAATTAAAAACCGATTCAGGATTCTCACTATTAACTAATTTTCTTATGATGATTAATATAACAAGAGGTTATTCGTATTTTGTATTAAATTGTGGAATGTCATATATATTTTATAGTCATAAATTTGCGTTTATATGCCATTTGTAATTTTCAAGACTTTTTAAAGCTCTGAATAGGCTGAGCCGGGCCGGTTTATACTTGGCTCGAACATAAAAAGGCACTGACTCGCAACTTAAAATCTAATATTATCTTTTTATTCTAATTCTAATAATTCTCATCTAGTTTTAATAAATAACTTAATTAACACTGGATCTAACTTCCTATTGCCTAGGTAATATCCGGATCAGTCAACAATATCTATGGTGCAGTTAAATCGTTAAATTGAGACTGAATAAACTTCATAGACTTTGTTTGGCATATCTGTTTTTTTCTGAAATGTTAAATTTAAATATGTATGTATATATATATATATCCAAGAGGAATAGCCTCATATAAAGTTAATTTGAAATTCATTTTGTGAATATTATTATATTTACTTTATTCTAATAAAATTATATGAACAGGGTATTGCCTTTATTAAAAAAAAAACTAATAAAATTGGCAACTATTATTATGAAAAACCATTATAAATATTAATATTAATATATATTTTTTTATCAATTGTTCTTTTAGAAAATGTAAAATTAAGAAGAAAAGGAAATAGTTCGGAAGCTTCTCATGAGTAAGTATTGTTAGAACATGATTGTCTTGAGAACTATTCTAGTTTAAAAAATTAAAAACATGTTATAATTATATGGAAGGAAAATAATAATAATATCAATTAGAATTCGCATTTGCTTTCTGTGTTGTTGGCTAGATACTCACGATTTAATTTGTGAAAGAGAAGGAATATTATCGGCTTCTATTCATTACTTTCAGTTAACATTCAGAATTCTTTTAATTTATCTTCAGCCTAATTTTTTCTATATCACCTGCCAAAAAAACATGGCTTTCAACTGTTCAATTACATTTATATCGAACTTCTCGTCACCTTTTTTCCCATGCTTTTTAAAACAAATCCAGGTTTTAATTTTTCATTTAACAATATTTTCAATTTTCAGCATTTCAAATTCATTTATTAAAAAAGCAAATTTCGGCCAACATGCTTAAATCTGGAAGAATTTATTATTTTTTAAATGGGGGAGGGGAATAAGCTATTGTCTAAATATTCCCTCAAGTCTACGAAATAGGATCTAAACTTTATGATATGAAAGAAAGTTCTAATGGTAATTAAGATCGAAAATAATATTATATATTATTTATTTCATCTAAGAGATGTATGCAGTAGGTGTGCCATCCCAACAAAACAACAACCAATAATGCAACATCCTTAGTTACGAACTTCAAATCGGTTGCAGACACCAACTTTATGCTAGTGTGGGGGGAATATGAAACAAATATCACATGAGTGCCAACTCTCATTAGTAATCAATGCTATATGGTAAACAGCCAAGCCTAGTCCGAGGGGAAGTTTTTGTCCGTCTTTCATTTTGCCCAAATCCTCCCAACATGTCGAGTCCATGACCTGTTGGAAAAAATCCCTAGAGATGAGAATGGACTTGCATGTTTGTGAAAATTACTAAATCTGATATGTATGGTCAATATCATTAGATTTATTCAAGGTTTTTAAGGAACTATACAATTGGGAAGGAAAATATATAAAATTTGATGTGGGTCACATATAATGTGTGATTAAATCAATCAATAATGTTATAAGTGAATTTATCTATTTTTTATTACAAAAGAAATTCGTTACATTCATTGTTGATTTACACTGTGGTAAAATTCTTCTGGAATTACTGAATTATATGTTGGGTTGATGTTGGGATCCCGACCCAGAAAATAGATCAATACTACAAAAATTTAAATAAATATATTTATTTTCTTGGGAAAAGAAAAAAAATCAATCATCCTAATTAAAAAAAGCTAATTATTAAGCTTTCACCAAATCAAGGGACAAAACTTCAATCAATAATTTTGACAACCTTCTAGTTCTTGGATTAAATACAATTTCAGTATTTATTTTTTTGTGACAACAATAAAGAAGATAAAACAAAAATTTTTTTTTTTTTGATAAACAAGGATTATTTTAATTACATAATTACAATAATTACATCAATCCTCATCAATTACACCAAGATGCTAAAATTTAGTATAACATATGTAGTTTTGCAGAAAGAACTTCGTAAAAGCTTCTCAGAGAAAAAGAAACATTATCAGATAGCTTCAAAGTTAAAAGTAGAAAATTTCTTTAGATAGTAAATTTGATATAATCTAATATCTCATGGTAAAATAATAAATTAAATACAGTATTGATGAAGTTATTTAATACAACTAATTAAAATTAATTTTATTTTATTTATATAGTTTTTCATGATATAATGTTATTTTGTAGTTCATATTAATATTAAAATATTTACTATCTTGTAAATACACCTGTGACATAATGGGGGGGTTTAAGTAATAAAATAAAAATTGAAAACCATTATTTTAAAATATAAAATTTTTTATTATCAAAGTCATTTCAAACACAATTTCTTTTGGCCGCACTATACATACATTAATAATAATCATTATCGTAATTTATTCGATTACCCAATTTTCCATCAAGTGATTTGTTAATTGCAAAAATGAAACGTTTTGAGCAATTTTTCTGGCACCTTTGTCCTGCAGTTTAAAGTGAATTACCATCATTCACAATTCACAAAATATCATAATATCACCATGATACTCTATATAAAAGCTTCTTGCCTGGTAATAGCATCAGTAATGTTATCAAATTTCCATTTGTCTCTCTCTTCAATTATTTTTGAAGCAAATTTTACACCTATACCAGTAATTGCTGTCAAATGGGAAAAGCTAGCACTATTGATATCAGGTCTCTCTAGCTCCGCATAATGAAAAGCCCTTCCAACAAAGGGACCATCCACAGTTTTCAATCAACTATTGCTGACCTTAATGGAAGCTGAACAATATTAGATGACCCATGTGTAAATAAGATGAAAATATCCTGATCACATGCTGCTTTTTCATACTCTACATTAAATTCTTTCTGATCTATTGAAGCATTTTTCAAAAGCTTACATTGGTAACTTTCAAAACAAAGCTGTGATGTGCCAGTGAAATAAATAGGACAGAAACAGTCACCGGGTGGAGCTCCAGTGGCATTGATAATACAGTGCGAGGCTTCTTTAATTTTCACATTACCGTTTCACACATTACATTTGCAGTACTATCGCCTGATTTAGTGCTTACTTTGTTGACAGCCTTTTCAAGTAATAGTGGCTTGTTTGTGATTGTTAAATTGTAAAAATTATGTTTTGCTCCCTTGTGAAGCTCTTCCAATAGAACATTGTCCCCATAACCATATAGCTGTGATTTGAGCACACAAAACCTAGCAATGAAATCTTCAAAATGTTGCCAATATTGGTATCCTGGTGGAACAGTCAGTTCATCCATACTTTGACATTCTTGATAATATTGGAAATTCCAATTACTAAGAATAGGATCATCTGACTTGTTCGCCATTATCCAAATCCATATGTAAGGACAAGATAATCGTCCTTGATCGGTTTCTCCCTCATCATTCATAAACTGAACCAGTCCCAATTGTGAGAGTTCTGCAATTCTGATTTCTGTTTCAGGGATGATGAAATTCTCATGTATAGTTTTCTGTGACAATATTATCTGAAGGACTGGTTTTAAATAGATGCTCTTACAAACCCATTCACTATAACGGTCAACAAGTCTCACACGTATCTCATTCATTAATTCTGCAAAGTTGCAATTATCCAAGTCTTTACCTTTGATGGCTATCTCAAGTGCCTCTAGAGCTCTACCATGCCCGCCCATGTCATTAACAAGCATATTTAGAAGAGGTTTGTTTGCAAAAACGGGCTTTCCTTGTCTTTGTGGAGGGTTTAAAGAGTGTATAGGAAGATAGATACGTTTTTGATGTGAATATCCAACAACTTTGTGGAAAGGGTGACTGAAAGTTGCCATGCAACAATTAATAACAAATGGACCCATATAAGCAAGAAGAGATAATTGAGTCATACAGGAATAGAATAAGGAAGACCTATCCTTTCCATCATTTGGTGGTATCATTGCTGCTTGCAATCCGTCAATAATAATAATAACAGTTAGATCATTAAATTTCATGTCCTTAGAAATCCTCTATAACACGTCCCTTGGTACAATTTCCTTATATTTATCACGTACTTCGAGCCAATTCTCAGATTCCATGAGTTGAAACAACATTCGCTTGCCAATAGCATTACTGGCAGTCCTCTCCACACTCAGATGAATTGCAGTAGCATTCTCAAATGAAAGATTGAAGACCATAGCATTATCAAGATGTTCCTTCAGCTCTTGCAGCTCCTGGTCATCAACAAATAAACTGCGCAAAATTTTAGATAATTCAGTTGCATTTCAAGATTTTTTTCTTCCAGCACTAGAGGCCATAAAATAAAGTGGAGTATTCAATTTGTCTAACTTTGTCGTTTTATATGTGTGATAGTATTCAACTACAGAACATTGCAACTTCTCTACCAAATTAATCAATGGCTGGTAATCCCATGATAGTCCTTCCGTGTACAATAATGGAGAGGGAGGTTTATACTCCAAGTCATCAGGCAAATTATGTACTATGTGATAAATAGATGAAAATAACACAAAATGTTAGTTAAATAAATGTTAAAAAATAAAAAAAAGTAAATTATATCCAATATAAAAAAACATTCCCTCAAATGAATTAATAAACCAAAATGGAATGAATGGAAAATAATTTTTGTATATTTTTTTACGCAATTTGTTCATTACCTTTCCCTCCACATAATAGCTCTTGATACAATAGCTCCCAACTTTTCTTCAACTCCATCAACTCATTTTTTTCTTTTACCAACGTCTCTTTTTCTTCCCTTAAATCTTCCATCCCCACAACTCTATAAACTTCCTCAAGTTTTCCTCCTTCATAAATTCTTCCAACTTCTCCTCTGCCTTCGCTAACTTCTCCTCCGCATTTTTTAATTTGCTTTTTACTTCTTCTAATGCTGCCATTTTAAAAAAAACGATGTCAATTAATTATTTTGATTTAAATACGATTTATAAATAATCTCGACCAATGATAGAATAGTGGACACATGACTTGGAATTTTATTTTTAATAATAAGAAAAAATTATTGCATGGGAGGAAAATACCCATTTGTAAGTATTACCTATTCTTTGGGCACTCTGCCAAAATCTAATTTTCACTATTACTACTGCTATTATTATCAATAATGTTATTATTAATATTTGTATCTTCTTTGCTTTCATTATCTTTGTCGACTTCGCTCTCCACTTTTCTTTGTTGACCATTCCTGAATTGCTTCTATCGTTTTCAGGATCGTTGATAGTAATAGAATTTTTTAATAATAGATGCAGCAACTCCTTTCTCCAAGTAGTTCACGAATTTCATTAGCCATTTTGCTGAATGAAAAATCAGGATTCAATCCAATCTTTTTATCAAATAGTTGTGTAAAGTCTTTCTATAAAATCTCAATTTATTTCAAGTATTTCTTTTCTAGTGTTTCCATGTCGCAATCCAAAAAAGGAAACAAAATGGTCATAAAGGCGGTTGCAATCACTTTTATATGACGCAAAGATGGTAGCAACCATCATCAAAAGTTGCAGCCGGTATCCTTATTCTTTTCACCAACTATTACTAGGTCTGTATTCTCTATTTTGCTAATCATTTTATCGATTTTTTGGTTTGTATTACAGAGCTGGTAATTTTTATAATGAGGAAAAGACCAAAAAAAAGGCCAATTAATAAGTCATAGATGAATCTATATTGTTATTATTTTTCTTATTCTTGAAGCTGAAGGGGGACCTGCATTTATTTTGATCTAAAAATAAAAATGGCTGAAATTTGCATGCAACTCTATTTTTAGTTATCAATAAATTTTTTCATTGAACCCTGAAATTCTTGATAATACAAATGTTCACTTTGGTTTTGTTGCAAGCATGCCCTAATTTATGTACGTACCTCGATTTAATTATAATATTTCTCAATATAACAGATTTTTATATATTAATATATGATAATGAAGCAAAATTTTTAAAAATCCGTTATGACAAGAATTTAATTGTAGTCCGCTGTGACTGTATTAGTATTAATACAATAATATAAATAATGGATCTTTTTTAATTACCCAACTATCTGCTAAACCAAGATTGTGTATATTTTTAAATTTAAAATTTTTTAATTGATAAAGGATATTATTTAATGATGATGGCTGAAACTATTTAAAAAAGGTAGTTTCGCCCAATACATATAATAAGTATTTTATTTATTTTAAAATAATTCCATTAAAATTAGTTTTAGGCCAATTAATTTCGGCAATTTCAGTCCACTAAGTAAGGTAGTTTCGGCCACCACTATTATTATTATTGATAACAATAATGATAACGTAATGACGAATAAAAAAGTAATACTATTTACAATTTCACGATTCATTAAATCTAATGAATGATAATGATTGCCATATATTCGAATCAGTTCGTACTTCATTGATTCGTTCAGAGTCTTACAGATGATATTTTGAAATTCTTGACTAAAGCTTGAATTAAGAAAAAGGTATAAGGAAATTAGACCAGGCCTGCTGTAAAATTATTGAAAAATACATTCATGCTAAGCAAACTAAGCAGCAAGCATTTCAAAGAGATAAACAAAAATGAATAGAAAAAAAAACCATTTTGCCATTCTGGGGAAGTCATAAGTTATCCAAAAAAATGTAACAGAATTGGAGATTGCAATGAAAGAAGAATGATCTCAAATTCCTCAGTGTGCGTTACATAACCTTATTAAAAATATACCAAGAAGAATTGAAACATAATGGGTGGCCAACAGAATATTGATAATATATATTTTTCTAAAGATGATTAAAAAATAAAAATTGATGTTCATTTTTAACTAAAAATCATAAATAATGATAGAAAAATGAGATTTTATATGTACTTTTGTTATGTGGCATTTCGCATAATTATTAAAAACCTCATCTGAATACTTTTTGGAAGGTAATGTATGTTTTAATACTTTATTTCATTCAACCTCCAACTGGCATCCTAAATCATTAAATCATCCATTGAAGAATGAAAATGGAGTTTGGCCTTTTTAATTTCAATTTTGGAGATCATCATAAATTTGAGTAATAGATGTTTGCTTAGGAAGCATACTTTTGTCTCTTGCATCATATCCCATAGGATATCCACAATGATTATGTAATACTTTTAATGTTATTATTAGGATCTTATTAAATAAATAAATAAATAAAATAAATTGCTTCGCCCAAAGTACGAGTACAGTCGTACATCGTACATACGAAGACAACCCTGACCAGTACAGTAGTACAATTGTGATGTTAAAATTTTTGGATCCCTGAAATCCTTTGTAGTACAAATGTTCACCCATATGTTATATATTAATATATAGATAGTAATTTTTATTTTTTTTTTAAAATTGAATACATACATATGAATGGAGTTGTGTAACACATTATAACGCGTCAAAAACCTGAAAACTAATTTTTATAATCTAACTAAAAAGTTCTTTTCTGTGCGTGGGAATAAAAACCACGTGTTTGCTCAAAAATGAAAAAATTGAAATTAAATATATTTATGATTAAATTCATCAATTGTCAAACATTCAACCTAAAAAAATAAATAAAAAAATCAGTAAAAATATATTTCATTAAAAAAAGTCGATAAAAAAAAATTCAAAATATTTATTTACTCCAGGAATATCAACATATTCTTTTTCTTTGATATCATCAATCACAATAAAGTGACGATATTTCTCATGGTAAAGTGATTGCATTTTACTCATTGAGCAGTAACAATGTATATATTCATTAGATAATTTTTTCTATATAACCGATATAATTATAATTATAATAATGTGTTATGGTTGAATTATTTTTTAAAAAGAAAATGAATTAATAAATAAATTATACATACAAAATATGATTCTAATGGAAGTAAATAATTTATTATGCCTTTGTTTAGCCCATCACGAATTTCATTATGATTCCTGCTTAATCTATAAAGTTTATATATATGTAAATATTAATAATTGAATACCAATGTATAATATTAAAAAAAATCTTATAGATACCTCTCAGCTAATAAACCTTCATTATTATAATTTAATAAAGAAATTCTTTCTGTTACAATTAATTCAATATTAATATCAACTTTGATCATCCAATTCCCATGCTAAATCATCAATAAATTATATTAAATTATATTAAATTATATTATATTACATAAATTTTTTTTTTACAAAAAAAAATTTTGAATTTCACCTTTTTAATAAAATTTTTTAAGTGAGATATCAAAGAATCAAAATTTATTAGAGCTCTTAAAGTAGCCATAATAATTCCACCGGAAATTAAAATTTCTTTTGGAATAACGTTATTAGATGAACCATTAATAAAATGTAATAAAAAAAATCTAAGGCTCTTTCTATTTTTTAGATCAATAATATTGTCAAGTTTAAATAAATTGTTTAGCATTGGCTTATCAATCTATAAACAAATAAAGGAAAATTATCTTAATTATTGAAGAAAATTATAAATTTTTATAATTATAATAAATTATATATGGTTTTTTAATACTTACAAGTATTAAATTTAAATTTTTATCATAAATGCTTGCTTCTTTAGCACCAATAGACCTCATATAAAATGCTATATCATTCACAACATACATCTGTTCAGACAAAGTCATCATTAAATGAAAGTATGATTTTGAGAAAAGATTTTCATGCTTATTAAAATCAAATAAAATTTTTTTTTCTTTTAATCTTTTTAATCTTTCAATTTCATGAAGATTGACTCTTAATATTATAAAATTGCACTCAAAAAAAGGTTGGATGTTGAGTGATGATGTGACTTCTTCACTATTTGGTAAGAAGTATAATCTACTATCATTTAAAGTTACAAATAATGCCTGTTTTCAAATTTGAAAACAATGATTAATATACATTTTTATATAATTTTCAATGCCAAGTAAAAAAAACTATTAAGCAAACCAACATTTTCCTTCGATTTAAGTGACATTATCTCATCATCAATTCTTCTAGAATGATATTCTGTAATAATTGCCATAGAACAACCTTTTTGATCATCATTGCTGTTTTTAAACACATCAAAAACAGAATCTAATGCATCATAAGATTCAAGAGTTAAATCATCTAATAAGCCTAACATCCTACTACATATAGAAATAAAAATTAAAAAAATACATATAATTAATATACCAATTCATGACCAATATCATTTTAATTGACATAGAAATAGAAAGGTATTCACATCAATTCCAAATCTACAGTAAATGTTGGCCATGCATTAATCTCAATTTCACTGAGGAATAGTACTTCTACTCCTGGATCTTTTTTATAAAGGCTTCCACCCCATAGCACTTTATGTTTGAATTTTGAAGTCAAAGGTGATAATTTTTGGCAGGATGATGATGATGATGGTGCTGTGGATGACGATGATGATGATGATGCTGTGGATGATGATGATGCTGTAGATGACGATGATGCTGTGGATGATGATGATGCTGTGGATGACGATGATGCTGTGGATGATGATGCTGCTAAAGAAGGCAATGATGATTTTTCATTCCTCAAATTATCACAATTCCTTGATTGATAGTGCATAATTAGAAAGAGTAATTAGAGAGAAGTTTCAACATAAAAACACTGCACAATAAGAGTCGTAACCAACCTTGATGTTTTACTGACTAACAAATTACCATCAATTATGGTGGCTTCATCTAAAGCTTTTGATTTCTGTGAATATTTATGGATTAAATTATCATCAAGATCTGGAAAAGGATTATTATCATCATCTGAGATCTCCAATATTTGTGAAGAAGACTTATGAGTGAGATTATTTTTTTTATTGATTTCACCTAAAGACCCTGATTTTTGTGAAGATTTATGGATTAAATTATCATCAAAACATGGCAAAATATTATCATCATAATCTAAAACTTCCAATCTTCGTGAAGAAGGCTTATGAGTGAGATTACTTTTTTGAGTGACTTGGCCTGAATATTTTGATTTCTGTGCATATTTATGGATTAAATTATTGTCAAGATCTGGAAAAATGTGGTTAAAATTTTCATCTGGAACTTCCAATCTTTGTGAAGACCTATGAGTATGATTACTATTTTTAGTGATTTGACATTTCTGTGAAAATTTATAGATGAAACTATTAAGATCTGGAATAATATTATTATCATTTTCATCTGAAGCCTCCAATCTTTTCAAAGAAGGCTTATGAATGAGATTACTATTTTTAGTGATTGGACCCAAAACTCTTGATTTCTGTGAAGATTTATGGATGAAGTTATAATCAAGACCTGATAAAATATTATTACCATCATCTAAAGCTTCCAATCTTTGTGAAGGAGGTTTATTAGTAAGATTACTAGTCCTAGTGATTTCGCCTAAAACTTTTGATTTCTGTGAAGATTTATAGATGAAACTATTATCAAGACCTGATAAAATACTATTGCCATCGTCTGAAACATCCAATCTTTGTGAAGAAGACTTGTGAATATGATTGCTTTTTTTAGTAATTTCATCTGAAAATTCTAACTTTTGTAAAGATTTATGAATTAAACTATCAAGATCTGGAAAAATATTATTATCAACATCTAAAACATCCAATCTTTGTGTAGAAAGCTTATGAGTATGATTGCTACTTTTTTGAGTGGTTTCAACTAAAGATTTTGATTTCTGTGAATCTTTATAGATTGAATTATTGTCGAGGTCTGAAAAAATATTATTATAAATTTCATCTGAAACCTCCAATCCTTGTGAAGAAGAGTTATGAGTATGATTACTTTTTTTATTAATTTGACTTGAATATTTTGATTTTTGTGAAGGCTTTTGGGTGAAATTATCAAGATCTGGTAAAATATTATTACCATCATTTGAAACTTCTGATGTTTGTGGGGACTTATGAGCATGATAATCATCAAGATTTGGCAAAATATTATTATGATTTTTTTTTAATTTCAACTTTTGCAAAATCTTGGGGGTAAAATCATCATCAATATCTGGCAAAATATTATTATAATTTTCATCCTAAAAAAATAAAAATATGAAACTTAATTAAAAATTTGAGATTTAAAGATTTCATCAAAATTGTGATATTAATTTATTATACATACAATTATTCTACAATCAGTATAATCAACAGTAGGAGATAGTGATAAAGATTTAGTAGCTGTTTGTTTAGGAATAGATTCAGGCCTTTTTGTTAATCTAGCTAATGTTTGTTTTTTATTTGGTGGTACCTGTAACACAACAAGTTTTCGTTTTTCTGGTAGAAGTTGGCATTTAAAATTGTTATTATTATTGACACTACTAATACTCCTATTATTTAAACTATTATTCCTATTATTATCAACATTACTAGTATTAATTTTATTATTAATACTAGTGTTAGTATTTCTATTGTTAATGTTTCTATCATTATTAATACTACCAATATTTCCACTATTATTATTAGGATTAATGTTTCTATAATCATTATTATTGTTGCTAATATTAGTATTGTTATGATCATTATTAGATGTTTCTGCATTTAGTTGTTGCTGTTTTTGTAGGTGTTCCATATTTCCTGTCATTGTTAAAAAATCATTTATCTTGTTCCAGGATCTTTTCAAACGATCTTCAGTTTCCCAAGTAGCGTCAGCATTATCTATTTATTATTATATATATATATATATGAAAACAAAAAGTATGTTAACATAAAATATGTAATGCATAATATTAATAACAGTAAAGATATTTATTTATATTCATATACATACTTTTCCAACTTGTCAAATAATTTATTACGCCACCAATAATTCTCATATCTAAAATTTCTGCAACATCATTTCTATCTTCCATTTTTACCAAATCGTTTTTAAAATTTTTGTCAAGACAGTTTTTATTTGGAACAGATAGATGATGATTTATTTTTTATATATATATAAAAGAATTGTTTATTGAATTTGATTGGTTGATTTTTTTAGTGTTAACGCGTCCTACCCGCTGCAATAATTTCTAAATTTAGTAGATTTTCGTAGACCCCTTATTATTTGAAAATGTCACAAGTGATAATTGTTTGTGCGTTTCGCATACTTACGTACGGATTTGACGAATGATAATTCTGCTGTTTTTTAGGCGAAATCATAGGAATAATATTAAAATATGATTTTCGATTAAATATATTTGTTTATTTTCGAGAAAGCAAAAAAAAGTTTTATTTGTTCTAAATCACTGCAAACAGAAAGATAATATGTGATTGATGTAAAGTCGTTTATTTATTTATTTAGAGTTAAAAAAAATTTTCACATAACGTTTTCAAAAATAATTAATTAAAACAAATCGGTAAAAAAAAATAATGTAAATATTAATATGAACATAATAAAATAATTACTCCCAATTTGTTTACAGAATAAAAAAACATTAGTATTAGTAAGTATTCTTTAGATAATAAACAACGCCCATTTCAAACTTTTTTTTTACGGCATTATTTTTATCCTGTTGGTACTAAATATATATTAATATTAATGTGTAAATTTTCTATCGTAATAATAAATTTCAAATTTTACTATTAGTCATTCAATTTTGTATTTCAGATGAACCTTTTGAAACAAGTACATTACTAATACATTCTTTAATAACATTGGTTCCCTTTTGGTCTTGTTACATAATATGCTCCCCATTTCCAAATAGAAAATCATTTTATTTTCTACAACCGTATATAAATATACAAATATGGCAATAATAATTGGTTACACAAAAATTTTTGTTATATATATGATTTAAACTTTTTTTTTTGATGATTTACCAAATTTGTCGTTATCTTTCATTTAAAAAAAATAAAAAAAAAAGAGAAAAATAAAAAATGATTATTTTACCACCAGAGATTTTAACGCTTGTAATAAATTATTTACAAAATGATAGAAAATCATTATTCAATTGCATGTTGGTTTCAAGAGCTTGGTCGAAAATAGTTGTAAGATTTTTATACAAGAATCCTTTTAAACTGATATACATCCACAAAGAAGCTTGTAATTGTCAAAACGAAGAAGAAGGAATTTATCAAAAAAGATGTTTGAAAGCCTACAATCTGTTTAATACGTTTATGAAATGTGTTATTGTTGAATATTATAAAGAATTAGTAGAAAACAAAGTTATTGGTGGCAATTATGATAACAACGATTTGGAGATACCTATATTTTCATATCAAAGATTTATTAGAAATTTAGATTTCAATTATCTATTTCTAGCGGTTAATGATATTTACAGGCAAGTAATATTTTTACAAAAACCAAGTTCAAAAACTAAGACTAAAAAAAAAGTTCCCAAGAGAAGACATCGTCATAGATTTAATCGTAACGTTACTTCTGCAGATCACAGTAGCCCATATGATGGCATTATACCTTATAATAATAATGAGAATAATGAGAATAATGAGAATAATGAGAACAGCGGCAGTGGTGGTGGTATTGGTGGCAGTAATATCATTATTAATAATTTTAATAATAATAAGTTAGAAGAAACGGAGGAAAAAAATTTCAATAATCATCAAAAAATCATTTCATATTTTGCAGTCAAATATCCACCAAATCCACAATATTCATTATCACAGTATTGTGATCATAAATTCGAATACTTGGAACATGGGAGGCATCATATAGCTTTATTGCTTTGTCAATTTTTTGCAAGGGAATGTTGTCATGTTAACAGTTTGAACATCAATATGGATTTTGAAGATAGTGCTAGTACTATTGACTCTGTTGATAAATTTTATTACTGTAAAGATTTACAATCAGGAAAAAATCCATTTTATTCTTTAAGATATATTAACTTGGATGAATATTTTATGATGCCAAGTTATCACTTTGATAATAATTACAATAATAGTCTAAAGTATTTGACAGAATTTATATGTACAACAAAATTTAGAAAATCAAATCTATTTGTTTTACTTTCTGAAGTATCAAGAAATATTAAAACTATAATAGTAAATATAGGTATAGGATCAGATCTTAGCCATATTCACAGATTTCCATTACATGCAATAAATAACGAGAGAAATTTTATGGAAAAAGAAGCAGAATGTCTGGCAAAATTAATTAAATCACAAAAGAATTTAATTAATTTTGAGTTACATAAATGTAGTGAAGGATTAATTCGTGTATTGACAGCACTTAAATCTCAGTTAAATACTTTGAAATCTTTAAAATTAGTTAAAGTTAATTTATCATCTGATGATGATAAATTGCTAGATTATTTCAATAGTAACGATTACCAATTCTTCGAACTTGAGTCACTTCATTTGGATGAATCAACAATAAATTATAATTTACTGGAAGTAATTTTACAAAATTGTACAAAAGAAAAATTAAAAAAAATTTATACAGGTGAAATAATTTATCCACCATTACAACCACAATATTTGTCGTCATCATCACCGAATCATAATAATAGAGGTGGTATTATTAGTATCGTGAATAATAATTTTCACAGTATTAATAATAATATCCATAACAACAGCAATATTACCAGTAGTATGTTTTTAATAAATTTTAATAATTTAACAGATTTCAAATGGAGTGTTAAAAATGATCATGTGGATTTAATTGTAAATATATTTGAAAACTGTAGAAAAATTGAAAGTGTTCATTTATATCAACGATTTAAAAATAATTTGTCTATATTTGACACGAATGAAATTTTAGAAAGATCTGGTAAAATTGGTTTACCAACATCTTTAAAACATTTCACTTTATCTGGTAGAGGATGGTTTTTCACTCCTATATCACTAGAGTGTTTTTTAACTCCAAATAATAAGAATAACAACAATAATAACAATAATAATGATAATGATAATAATAATCACCATCATCAATCACACCCCTCTTCTCTTCCTTTCTTCTCCTCTTCCTCTTCCTCTCCTCTTTCCTCCATTACTACTTATCCTGTTTTTACTTTAGAAATTTTAGAATCTGATTGTTTTACATTTCAACATATGGAAGTTATAATTAAATCATGCAAAAAATTTCACATATTAAATCAATTCATTCTAAAAACTCATTTTGACATTGGTTATGAATTGATTAAGATAGCAAAAGGACTCATAAACAAAGTGAATTATGAATATACATGTTAAAATAACCAACTAAATTCACTTTGAGTTAATATATATATATATATATAATATTATTTAAAATTTTTGTAAATTTTTTTATTGACAAAAATGGTAGAATAGCTGAACTTACTTACATCATAAATAAAATAAAAACGCGTATAGATTTTTTTAACTTTGCACATACATAAAAAACCAAAATGGCTTTTTTTTTATTAAAAAAGATGAAAAAAATATCTCTTAGACTGCGATTCAACAACATTCGTATATATGTGTTGCGAATCCTATAAGTAAAGCTGTAAGGACTTTGTGAGTGAGTTTGCTGCTGTTTTATAGAATTTTGTTTATTTATATACTCGACTTTGGCGACAATTACTGCACAGCAAAGGGTATTAATATATAATGGCCTTCAATCAGGAATTTTGTTAGTAAAATAAAATTTATACGTACATTAAGGGTATATATTATAAATTCTTAATTCATGATTTATGATAGACAAATTTTCATATAATATTTCGGTTTCAAAGAGTTGTTCGAATCGTTCACTATCATAATCGGTACATTTCTTACAATATGATAAACATGTAAAATAGAATTATATCACTTCAGTTACACCCACAAGCATACACGCAAACTTTATCAGGCGTAATAAAAGACAGCTTTATCACTTTTTCATCACTAGCACTCAGAAAAAGAATAATAAGTCACCGATGGATAAATTTCTCTTTACACAAATCGTTTGATATTTGTACTTGTAGAATTCCAAATACCAACCGTAAAAAATTATCAAATGTAATATAATGATCTAACTAACGAGACAATTTAAGTTCTTCTTTATAGAACAACTTACTCTTTTTTTCATCATGATGAAAATTCGCCATCCCGAAGTCAATCAAGTACACACCCATTACCAGCACTATTGTCAAGCAAAATATTTTCCTTTCGAATGTCGTTGTGAAGTACACCTTTATCGTGGATTAAGATCCTTATTCCTTTACCGTTCCGTTGTATGCTTATAATCACTTAAAGCGGTACAAACAAGAGTTGTAACAATAACATAGCCCATCCCACCTCCATAGCACACCGGTTTTGGAATGTATCCTGGATGTTTGCGAGAATTTTATAGATTTCGACTTCTTTCTCCATTTCTTTCAAGATATGTAGTGGGCTTTCGATAGATCAGTACTCTTCAAGACAATTATATTTTCATGAAACTCACATAGGGGTGCCTTTCCACTTCGTCCATCTCCTGAGATACCCTTAAACTTGACACGATCTTACTATATATCAAAAATGAAGGATGTCCTTTTCTATTAGTAAAAGATCTTCTAAACACGTGATAAGAACAAATTATTTTTTTGTAACAAACAAGTCAGATAACGAATTGGATAAAAATTTAGAATATGCATCAAATGAAGAAGACTCAGATAAAGAAATTGGTTATTCGTTTATTTGTTTATTCTAATTATTATTATAATTATTTGTTTATTCTAATTATTCGTTTACCAATTCTAAAAATTAAATTTTATTTGTCAGATAGGTTTTACCCTTTATTTTTTACGAGAATGATCTTTACAATAAGAACAAGGGAAGACAATAAACCAAATAGCTTTTTTATTATTAAATGACTCCCCCGTAATATATTAATATTTAACATAATTTTTTTAATGCGCACGTCACATCTCTACATCAAGCATGGTGGAAATCCTTTCTTTTTCTTTATGCTCTTTTCATTCCATGGGTTACATATGAAGCGGAAAAAAAATTTTTTATACGATTTTAAACGAAATGTTTCCTTTAAAATAGAATATACGAGGTAAAAAATTTTTATTATCATTATAAGGTAAATATTATTATTATACAAGATGGGTTATTATTGTTATATAAAATAAATAATGAATAGAATAAAATAATGATTTATACAATACATATGAGTCAAATAAAAAAAAAATGATGGTTTTATAGAGATGATGAGGGCGGAACGTTTCCATCTGCACTGTAAAATCCCATGATCAAGTAGAAGGGAAAAAAAGGGATATTGGATGGTTATATTCACCGTTCATTTACTAGTTCGATCCTTCCATTTAAATACACTATAGAAATTATCTTTTGCAAAAGTGTAATAAGAAATATAATAAATAAACAGGTATTAACGTAATATTAAACGAATTGATATAAATAATAAAATAATAATGAATTAGATACATATGTATATAAATCATATTTTATTTATGTGCAGATAGAATACATACTAATACCGAAACAAAACTTTTATCTTACATTTAATTGAGGAGCTTGATAGAACTTGTTTTTATTTTGTTTGTTTTCGAAATTGAACAATAAAAACATATTGTTTGTTGGTACTTTCAAAAACTTGCCCATTATACGGATCTCTATGATTGATATATATACTAAAAATAAAGCTCGATAAGGAAAGGTGCATTTAACGAAATTTTATGTAACACAACCATCGATCTGTTACTATTAATATTAAATAAATTTTGGTGAATTGAGAGTTTTTCATTTTTTACAATGGTCAACAACAATCTTTTAGAACTATCCAATGATGAAGGATTCAAACAACTGGATAAAAGCATCCCAATATTTATGGATTTTTGGGCACCATGGGTATAATCTTGTACTCAAATGAATAATGTGTGTTTGCTGAACTTGCCAATAAAAATACCACACATAAATTTGTTAATGAAAATTACTACATACAAGTATCTATATTTTTCTTTGTATTATTTATAGATTGAAGCAGGGAAATTTCAGAATCATTTGAGATAAACAGCTGTTCTCTACTTTTATAGTTACAAAGATTTTTATTAAAAAGATATTATTATTATGTCTATTATTATTTTTTTTAACTCTTTATTTAATACGATTTTTAGAGTGGGAAAATTGTCGATCGTCTTAATGAAGCAAATGCGCCAGAGCTAACCACTATAATTAACATCAAATCAATACCAAAATTAGATTTGAATACACGTATTTAAAGGTACAATTAATTCTTTTGTATGTTATGGCTTTCATCAAAGTATGCTATTTGTTTACATTCACTAAATATTTGTTGATGGCATTGGATTTAAATTACGTTGCTCATCATTAAAACATGCACCAAATCAACCACGTTGTGGATTTTCAAAGAGGTTGTGGGAAATTTGAATGGTCATCAAGTTAAATATGGTACATTCAATATTATTGATGATGAAGAAATTAGACAAGGTATATTGTACATTTATTATATTTTATATATATTATGCATTAATATATCATTTTAATAAACTTTACGTTAAATAGGTGTAAAAGAATATTCTAATTGGCTAACTTACCCCTCAGGTACACATTTAACCATTCTTAAATATAATGTAATCTACTGTATTTAGATCAATTTACCAAATTATGATATAATTTTGAAAGTTATATATAAATGGAGATCTTGTTGGAGGATTAGATATTTTAAAAGAATTGTTAACATCTGGTGAATTTAAAACAATGATTCCAAAAAAAAAGGTTTGGATAAACGACTTCAAGAATTAACTAATCACTAAAGGATCTACAAATAACAACCCAAGACGTGAAATATGCCCAAAAAAATAAAATTAATTGTTAGAATTCTTGATAAGAAAAAAAGTAAATATGGTATTTGTTATATTGCAAGATGAAAAGGTATGTAAAACAATTATTGTGATTGTTGTTGTTGTTGGAATGATTATTTTTAGTAACAAATTCTAAATTAACCATTTATAGGATTGTAAAATGGCATAAAGGAAGTTTGATCGGTGGGATTAGAGAATTGCATAAAAATGACGCATGAAATTATTAAACTGAAAAATTGCAACAATAAAAGTAACAGCAACAGTATTTATTATGAATTTCGTGTATTTCTAATACATCATTTTTCATACCAGCCCGATACGGTATGTAAATTATATATTAATATATATATATATACATTCGTAATATGTATAAAGACAAAATAAAAAACTAATATTTTTTAATGGAAATTTATAAGACTTTATTTATTTTAATATTTGTCAAAGAAAACATTGAAAAAAAATAATATAGAATGTAATGACATACATAATACTATTTAAACAGCTATTTAAATAAATGGAAGGTTTTGAAGATGTTGTTGAAGCAATGGCAAGTTATCTAAAACCCAAGGTGCCAAACTAAGTAGACCTGCAATACCTGCACCTGCAGCAACATATTTCACTTTTTTTGAAGTAGATACCTCCTCACCTTCCACTTCTTTTTCAATTTTTCTCTTATTTTTTCTTTCAACATCATTATTATTTGTGATTTCTTGAGGTTTTTCATCTTTCTCATCATGATCATCATCTTCCACTTTGTTGTCATTAAACCCCTTGACCAAATTTAATAAAGCATGTTTTTGATTATTTTCAAATTCATCAGAAATTGCTGTAAGATTTTGTTCAAATTCATCAAATTCTTGAAAGGTTTTTTGATAAGCTAAAAAATTAATGTATTATTAACATTAACAACATTCTTTGTTATCGCAAAAACATGACGATTATTAAAACTATACTGTTACTAATACCACCACTACCACGACTATTATCATTATTGTTGTTATTATTATTTTACTATATATTATTACCTTCACGTTCCTTTTTCTTCTTTTCTTCAATTTTAATTATACTTTCTCCAATGTTTTTATATTTATTTTCTAACTTTTTAAGTTTATAATTAGCTTTAATAATTTCCATTTTTCCATTTGTAAGATGATTATAAGAAGGTCTTCGATCATTTAACTTAATTGTTGTAGAAAATGGTGAAGGCGGCAACGAGGATAATGAAGGTGATGAAGAGGTGGAGGAGGAGGAAGAAGAAGAATGGTTGTTTGTTCTTTTCGCATTTAAATTAGAATTTATTTCCACAACATAGTTTTCATCATCTTCTTCATTGCCAATATCATTATGGTTTATACTGTTGATTACGATTTTTGAAGTCAGGTCATTTATATCTTTACCATCATTGCCATCACACTTGTGACTATTATTAATAGATTGATCAGGTCTCTCAATATTATTAATAATAATGTCATCCAATTTATTATTATTATTGTTATTATTATTATTATTATTATTACTATTATTGTTATCGTTATTCTTATTCTTATTAGGAGTAGTATCAATAACATCGATGTTACTTAAAGATTCATTGTCATAATTATTCTCGTTATCGGTATTATCGTTACCATCGCTATCAACTATTTCATGGGCTGCTTCCTCCTCTTCTTCCTTTAATGAACTTATTAATTTTGTAATTTTTACTATTTCTTCATAAATTTTATTGTATGATTGGGATCTTTCACGATGTTTTTTGTTTAACTCTTTATAATTTTGTTGATAACGATTTTCTACCTCTTTTCGTTTGGCTTTTTTTTTTTTTGTCAAACGGAGAATAAAATATATATCATATATATATAATATATATATATATATTATTTTCAAATATTTATTTGATTATTAGATATAACTAAAAAATTTTATTATCGAATTATACCTTCAATCTTTTCTCTGATTAACTCAGTTAAATCTCCCATTATTTTTTACTATTTCAGAAATATGTTTATTTTCTTTATTGATATTATGTTCAAGCAAACCTTTATCTTTTGTTTTAATGGGTTTTATTTTTTAGGAAAGTTTTGAAAACTTTAAATATTAAGAATGCATACTGCATATCAAAAATGATCATATGGTAAAATTGAAACCCAATAACTTTCCAAAATAGGAAGGTTATAAAAAAAACCAAACCTGCTTAAATCCTTAACTGCGGAATAGAATAACACTGACCTGAAATTAACTAATTATAATACTAGTCAAACGGGTTTTATTCATTCATATTGTCAATGAGATATAGTTTATTTAATCAAGATTAACAACACAGTTTTATGTAACTCCTCATGTAATACATTTTTGGTCCATTAAAGAAATACAAAACAAATATACACACACACACTCCCGCAAAATGTCAGTTATTAATATAAAAGTCACGTGATTTTATAATATAATTTGAACGTAAAAATTTTCTAAAATTCTGTTTCGTCAACGGAAAGCCGTCTGTTTGATTCTGATAAAATTACTGAAACTTGCTTCGACCAATTTTCAAAATCTTTAGTTATTTATCTATATAGGATCATTTTTAGCACGCCTACATTTCTTGTGAAGCGCTTATAGAAATTCTTTTTTTGGATGAAGATGCGGAGGTTAAACTCTATTTTAAAACAATAGGATCCACTCACTTTACAAATTAACCTATTTGCAATCAGGATCGATTGATTTGATTGGTTCTCACATTATACCGGATAAATAATGAGCGTCTAAATTTATATTCAAATAAATTTGGTTTTTTTTTAAAAAATGTCATGTCATTATATTTTACCCAATTATTCATATTCTTTTTTATTTAAATAATAAATTGTCCATTTAAACAAAAATATTCTTTTGCAAACTTATCTTTCTTGGCCTTTTCTTTTATAACTTTGTACTCTATACCAAATTTAAAAGTTTCTGAATAAACTAACTAATACTAATTAAAAAAATATGATAGGAAACCCCCAGGCACAGTTTGGAAACCGATTTGGGTTAGAGATCTACAATAATTGACTTGACCAATGTCTCGTTTTTTGGACTTGGTGTATTTGAAAATATATTTTTTTTGTTATCTCCCTCGTATAAATAAAATTCCTTGTTCTAAAATTGATCCACTTCCCCGAATATACGTGCTTCTATTAGATGAGTCATGTCCAAGAAGCCCATTTTTGTACAGTTAAATTTAATAAAAACAGAAAATATAAATTCTGACCGTTAAATTCTCTAATGTTTCTTGAGCTACTTTACACTTTGTTTTATAGTTGTTGTTATTGGCAAGTTCTTTGTCAAATTTTTTCCTCCACTCCAAATAATTAACTAGGATCCATTTACATGGATCAGTGCCGTGGAAATAACACATTTTATCTTTAGTTTTCATGAAACAGTGTCAGCATTACATAAGCCGTCCGTTATTAAAAACTAAACAATTGTATATTTATCCTGGACACAGTCCATTTTGAAATAACAAATAAAGATTAAAAAAATCTGTTATATTATTTATCCAAATTAGAAATGGAAAAATTGGCTCTCTGAAATTTTGCTTAACATTCATATGGGGCATGCTGCAACAAAACCAAAGTGAACATTTGTATTACCAAGAATTTCAGGGATCAATATTGATATTTGTCTAGACAAATATGAAACTTATTTACATCAGAACTACCATTGGAACCCAAGAATTACAGCACCATTAGAAGAAAGAACAAGGTGAAAAAAATTGCTCCTTACATTTTCAAAATAAATGATACACAGACACTGGAAGCTTATCTAAAAAAGGAAAGAATTATGAAATTTACCAAAAGAAATAAATGTTGGAAAAAGAAAGCAGCACGAAGGTGTATTAAATCAGTATATTTGTTTATAACTTCTTTTTGCTTCGACACAGTTTGTGAAAGACTTTCGATTTCCTTTTATTTTATGAGGAGAAAAAAATTTTTTTTTGTTTAATAATATTAAAATGTTTTATTATTTCAATTATTATTAACACAAAATCTACAAATATTTTTTTTAAGTACCGTTTTATTCTAATTTTTTTCTTACACTAACTAATTATGTTAAGTATTATTAATTTAAAAAAGGTTTAAAGCTCAACTATTAATTTAAATATTTGCATTAAGTTTTGTCAATTTGAATCATTTTTCATTTGGTATTCTCGATTCCATCTTGTTTGTTATCGTTTTTAATTTCTTTCTGGGTTCCTGAAAACACATTGGGATATTGATTCTTCTTTTGTATGTTTTTTTCATAGCTATTTCACCACAATTAAAGACTAGTGCCGTAATCCAAAAAAGGAAAAAGTATGGTTGCAAAAGTGGTCGCAAAGGTAATTGCAACCACTTTTTATATGCCATAAATACAATCAATTACTACCATCATCATAATTTACGGCACTAGTCTTTAGTGTACATAAAGATGTTATAAAATAAGATACTCACAAGAACAAAATTAGAATGCCCAATATATAATTTATCATAAAACATGTTTACTATATTGTAACTTTCTATGTATTCCAACAAGTCAGAAGAAATCTTAGAAGTCGGTTTCATTTGAAACTCTTTTATTTCCTCGAGTTCTTCCCTCGTGAAAACGTTTTGGTTTATATAATTTTCGTCATTTGGATCAATTATCAACGAGTGCGCCAGACTATGAATATACATGTTAAAACTAATCCATAGCAACGGCAATGCTTTATTAATATTTAATTTAATAAATAATACTTACTACCGTTCCGGTAGATAATTTCCATTTATTTTCCTCTTTCATCAAAGAAAACTTATGTTTGAATCTTTCGTAGTCCTCTTTCAAGAGTTTTGCCTCTGGTTTTTTTATATCACTATTGAATTAAAAAGAGTAATGTTAGTTATAACTAGAGTAATGACGAGTGGCTGGCGATAACCACCACCAACATCCTTAAAACACTTACCCATATATTTCTTCTGCTTCTTCTCCTCGTCTTCTTTTTCTGTTTTCTTTTGGCATTTTAAATTTTAAATTTTAGAAAAAGAAGTTTGTTGTTTGATCGACGCGTACAACGTTAATTATTTATCCTATTGGTTTTTTTTTTTGGTAAGACAGACGCGAATTGATTGTTTTTTTTTTTTTTTTTGGAAAAACAATTTATTTATTTTTTGACAGAGTCCTGTTGTTTGGTTTGGTTTGGTTTGGGTCTCCTACCCATAAAATCCTTTTTTACCTTTTTTAAAGCACAAAACCAAATATATGTAAGTTTACTACATTAAATTGGATTTGATTTATAGGTGAAAGTAGTGAATTTATGCTAATCTTCATCAGAAAGCTTATCTAATATTCATGAGATTAGGTGAACCCAATAAACCATCTGAAATATTATTAAAATATATGTTGTCCACCGATTTCTTTGAAATCTAATTTATTCTAATTAAATGTATTGCTTGAACCTTTTGTGTATAATTATTTTCGAGTTTATTTAAATTCCTTCGTTTTAAATTAAATCTAAGAATTAAATGCCATTTACATTTTAGAATGTTAGAATATTTTATTTCCCATTGTTTGAGATATTTTCAGCGAGTCAATTATTTTATTGGTGATGAATAAAAATATGAAATTGGACTGGTTTGAACACTTATTAGTTTTTTCCCGATTTTATTATATTTGGCGCCAGATTATAGAAGTTTTGCACAATATTTATTATCTTATATAAAATCATGCTATGTACTGTACATGTATGTAATGAAAAAATTTACTTTTCGAATGTTTTTATTGCATTGTCACGAGATAATTTACAAAGACGCGCGAATATTATTATGTAAATTGACTGCATAAAAAGACGATCTTATATATTTACTAGGATAAGATCATCTCTCAGAAAGGAATTTGTTCCTGAAGATTCTAGTTTCGATTTTTTTTGTTTTCTCGACCTCCTTTCTTATTCTTCAAAATTAATTTTTGAAAAAACGATTGTAATAAAATTGCTTCTCCATCCTGGATATCAAATTAAGAACTATCCGAAGGATTTATTAGTACCATATATGCAGTTCAGCACTAAAATAATAGAAAATAATATATTAATCAAATTTTTGAAGCAAAAAAAAAAAAACTTTATAAATTTCATTATTCATCGGGCTTTCATAGATATTATATGAAAACAAAACAGGCAATGTTTGGTTTTTGATTCTGAGCCAAGAAGTAATTTGAGCCTCTCAAACTGGAGGGAATCAAGAATTACAAAAAGAGATATTTATTCTGCTTTGAAAAATTCTTATAATGCCACAAACTGTATATATATATACGTTATTATTATATACTAAATTACGATTTAAATTTTTTTAATCATTTCCAAGAACTGTTTATTGAAAAAATTAGTCCCTAGCTAGACAACAATCTACAACCAAAAGATTTCTTTGTAGAATGTTGAAAAATATAATCGAATCAGCGAGTTTAATTAAAATTTTTAATAAAAAATAAAAGAAAGACCATTTTTGAATTTAATTGTGTTTCTGTTGATACCGCTAGTATTAAGTCCGCCAATTATGACATAATTATTATATAATGTTTATGATTTAAGTTAAATTAAAGAAGATTTTTTTGACTTAAAAATCAAGAATCCAGTCATTTTATGTAAATTAATAAGAACCATTTGCTAAAAGAAACATTACTCAAAGTTTCCTCTCAAAGAAATATGTCTAGATTTCCTTCAATATTAAATGGTAATTTATCAATTATTATCACCAAAAAAAAAAAAAAATCAATTTTTTGATAAGAGTTTTTTTTTTAATATAGCTACAAAGGAAGACATGCAACTTCTTCTAGCAGCACATGTTCATATTGGTTCAAAAAATTTAAATGTTCAAATGGCTCCTTATGTATGGAGGAGACGTGGTGATGGTAATGTAAAATAAATTGTTAGCAATTTATAATTTTTCTTGTATAGATTTTATTAAAATAATCAATCAATTTCTATTAGGAATTCATTTGATTAACCTTGGTAAAACATGGGAGAAATTAATTTTGGCTGCTCGTATCATTGTTGCCATAGAAAATCCAGCTGACGTGTGTGTCATCTCATCTCGTCAATATGGTCAAAGAGCTGTGTTAAAATTTGCTTTATACACAGGAGCTCAACCTGTAGCCGGTAAATTTATTCCTGGCACATTCACAAATTACATCACTCGTTCTTTCAAGGAGCCTAGACTAATTATAGTAAATGATCCTTTGAGTGATCATCAGGCCATTAAGGAAGCATCATATGTCAACATTCCTGTAATTGCTTTATGTGATACGGAATCACCTCTTAGACTTGTAGATGTGGCAATCCCTACAAATAATAAGGGTAAGCATGCAATCGGCTTAATCTATTGGTTACTTGCTCGTGAAGTACTTCGTCTTCGTGGTGCTGTTTTACGTGACTCGTCATGGGATGTAATGGTGGATATGTTCTTTTGTCATGACCCTGAAGTTATTGAAAAAGAAGCTGAAGGGGTTCTGTCCGAAAAATTCGCTGGCGACACACATCAAGTTGATGCTACCTCGTTTCAAGATTCTAATTGGGATGCTTTTGGTCCAACCGCTGCCATTGGTGTAACCAATCCTCAACTTGCTACTACTGCTTCTGTAAATAATTGGGATGCTTCCGGAGTGAAATGGGCAGACAAAATTGAATATAATCAAACTAATACTGTCGATATTGATGGCGATGATGCTAATTGGACAGCTGAAACTATTTCAGGAGGTGATGCTATTTGGACAACTGAGACTACTACAAGCGATGTTAATTGGTCAACCGAAGGCGGTGGAGGTAGTAATTCTAATTGGACAGCTGAGACCACTACGGATGATGTTAGTTGGGCAATGGAATCTACTTCGGCAAGTGGCAGTGATAATGCTAATTGGACACCTGAAGTTGTTACAGGTGATGTTAATTGGACGGCTGAAACTACTTCAGGAGATGACAATGATGATGCTAATCGAGTAGCCGAAACTGCCACAGGTGATAACGGTGGTGGTACTAACTGGGCAGATGAGACTGAAGGTGATTGGGCAAAGGAATATACGAACACTGTATCAAATTGGGATTAATCAAAAAAAAAAGTCTCTTCTGCATGGTTTATCAAGTGGTTTTGGTGATCAGGATTTTTTCTCTGATGGCACTTTTTATTGAGTTCTTGCTTAAATTTTTAATGTAGCTTTTTTAACTATATAATAATAATTATTATTATTAGAGAATTTTATTTTTGAAAAAATATGAAAATAAATAAATTTGTTTGATAACCATCACTATCGCAAAAAAAAAAAAATCTATTCAATTCTTCCATGCTAAATTAGCAAATTGAATATTGTAAAAAGGCGAAGAAATATCTATAAAGTCTTGTTTCCTTTTGTTAATGTCAATTTATAGACAAAATCCGTTTATTATTTCCTAACGCAACGTTGCAGTATAATTATCATCACTAAAAACACTGGCTAATAACGCTGGAGATAAGTTTAATTACTGGACGCGTTTCATGATTAATGATGGTACGTGGCAATAATTTTGGTTCGCTTCCACCTTCAGTCATCTGCATGAAGATATAATATATTAGTAATGCATAGAATTCAATATGATTATTTTTTTCTTTCAAATAGAATTACTCGCTTAGCATTACATATAGATGATAAATCTGTCGAGATTGTCATGAACATTTTCTTTTTTATATTTATTTGTTGTTGATCTATCTATTAATAATGCGATAATAATAATATATAAATATTAAATATTTTTATTTTCTCCCACGCCGTAAAAATAAAATATTTATTAATACTAACCAAAATAAATAAAATAAAATATGTCTACTCAACAAGATACGAAAATTATTTTTAAATCAAACGATAACCACGAAGAATTCTTTGTATATGGAAACCCTGAACTTGTTTGTAAAATTTTTTATTCAAATTTCGCGATTGATGTTAATATTAATATTTTGTTCTGGCAAACGATGGTGATAACTCATCTTTAGGTGACTAAATGGCGTAAAGATAAATCAGTTCCATTGATAGATGTTGTTCAAAGTAATAATAAAGCAACAAATTAATTAAATAATTTAAATGATGTTTTAAAATCAAAGTAAACCAAAGCGAACAATCAATTAAAATTTAATAATAACAATTATTATTATTAGGCTTTGATATTTACGAAACAGTCAATGGTGGTAATGTGGGTATTGCTGGCAGACCTTCGAAACAAAGACTAGAGAATGCTTTTGGTACATCAAATTATACAGAAGTTATCACTCATATAATTCAGCATGGAGTTGTTCAGCATAGTCATAAAGGTCATGCTTCCAAAGATCATCGAAGTAATTATCATCATATTATTAATAATCGTAGTAATTATTTCTTGATATTTTACTTCTCGCAAATATTTATAAATTATTTGTTTTTTTTTTTTGCTTAGCCATGATTAACGAAACTCGTGGTAAAGGAGCTTACACAGCTCAAAATGTGTCAGGAATTCATAATTAAGAAAGGTGTTGATTTGTGTGGTTAATGACGATGGATGAATGAATCTTATATTTTTATTTGCGAAAAAATAAAATAAAATTTTTATAAATTAATGTTTATTGTTACTGCCTTAACCAAATATCATATATCATATTTGTTGCCACCTGGTCATCACGATGAGTATATAGCAAACATTGACCAGGAAGCTCCTAACCAATATATATACGTGTAAATACTTAAAACTATTTATATAAATTTATTATTTGGAAAATTAATCATTTTTATTAATAACCATTCAATGAATTGAATTAATAAATAAATTTAATTGTGTATAACTTCCTTTTCTATTTTAAGGGGGATTTAAAAAATCTAGCAAATCAATAATTCTATATGTATATTCACCACAGTTATTTGATTTAAAGTGGGAAGGAGCTCTATTAGTAATGGTTTATCAATTTCTCTATATATATATATACTTTGTTCGCTGTGTGTTAAAAAAAAGTCCTGCCATATATGCTTCAAATTTATCAACATTTAAATTTAGAAAGACGTTGGTTTTGCGTATCACTCATTAATACCTAATTCTGGATTGTAATAAGAATGGCAGATATAGAAAAGTTATACCATGAGGAAAATAAAAAAAAAAAAAGATAGAAAATGAATTTAGAAAAAAAAATTTTTTTATCTAATAAAAAAAAATTTATATATTACCTATATAAATAAATGGTTGTATTTACAAATTGCTAGGATTTGGTTGGTTGAATTAACTAGATTTATCAACTTTTTTTTTGTTTCCCAAAGCTAAATAGATTTTTCATTAAGCCAATCTAATTTAACCTAATTTAATCTAAGCAATTTGTGAATACACCCAATATAAATATATCAAAAATCATAAATATATATAAATATAAAATAATGATAAATTTTATTTAAATTTCATTTTCATGTTTCATCATGTTTGATAAACCTATTGTACTGCTTGGAATCCCACTATTTCCGAATCCATTAACTGCTGCTAAATCATTTATTCCAATAACATTGTTTTCTAAACTATTGCCTACTAAAAGATTTCCAGCAATCATATTGTTGGCGCTACCTCCTACTCCTACAACACTACCATCCTCGCTACTACTAATACCATCACTATTTGTACTTGGATATCTCACCATATGATAAGCATTTGTAGGATTATATCCTGTATTGCCAATCCCTGTGTTTGTAACAGCATCAGCAGTAGTCATAAATCCTGTAGGAAATCCTACATTTTGTAATTGTTGAAATTGTTTTTGTTGAAGTGTTGTTGTTGGAACTGCTCCTGCTGTTGCAAATTGATCGCCCATACCAATTATAGATGATGGCATTATTCCTGTTTGTCCATTAACAACATTTCCGCCATTATCGTTATTATTACTGTCGTTATCATTATCATTATCATTAGCAATAGTAGCAGCATTAACAGCAGCAGTATTATTCATCGGTATACCGACTAAGGGCCTTAATATATTATATGCATCACTATCTTGATTCGTTGCTGCTGCAACTGCCATTATAGCAGCATTATAATCTGTCATATTCTGTTGTTGCTGTGCGGATTGATTTTGTTGGAATTGTTGTGCCATAGCTAAATTTGACAATAGAGAATTTTGAAGATGATTTGGAGTTTGTTGAATCAATTGTTGTTGATGTAGTAAAAGTTGCTGCTGTTGTTGTTGCTGCTGCTGTTGTATATGTTGTTTCAATTGGTGTTGCAATTGTAATTGATGATGTTGCTGTTGCTGTTGTTGTTTATGATATAATTGTTGAAGTTGTTGATTAGATAAAATTGTGCTCATAAGGTTGTTATTATTATTATTACCATTGTTTGGGCTTAATTTATATTGTTGTGATGATGACGACGACGATGAATTTGTATTTGTCATAATATTTGAATTAATAACTTTGTTATTATTATTGCTAATGTTATTGTTTATATTTGTGTTATGATTATTAATTGAATTTATTATAACACTTGAGTTATTTGGATGGAATTTTTTATGATCAGAAAAAATCTGTACAGCTTGTTGAATAAGACTATTAAGTTTTTGTCCGACTAAGCCGCGTGGAATAGGTAAAGGTGTTAAATCTGGTAGATTTACTGATTTTATCACCTAAATAAATATTTAGGAAAAAAAGTGTGATGGGAGTGAGCGGACGAACAAAAAATAACTTTATATGATATATAAATTTAAAAGGTTTATTTATTACACCCCCTCCCTGAATTAATTAAATGATTAAAATAAAAATAATGAAAAGAATAATTTAAATTACATTTCCAGAAGGATTTCCATTAAGTTCATCGGCTATAGTGGCAAGATATGATAGATTCGATCGAAGACGCGCCTTATAACTATTAAATAATTAATAAGAAAAAATAAATATTAATTTCACTTTAAAAAAATTTTTTTTATAATTTTTTTTATATATTAAAAAAATAATCCCCATACAAAGCCATATCTTGTGCATTCACCCATCCTTGTTTTTGATATTCAATACAGGCTCGGATCAATTCATAATTAACCTCAAGTATCTAAAGATTATTTATTTAAATTTTCAATATATATAAATCCATAATAATTATTTTAATATTAGAAAAGTAAAGAAAGTACCGCTTGTACACATTTTTGTGTAAATTCGACTATAATTAACATCATAGTTGTTAAAAATAAATTAGTTATTATTCAAAAATAAAAATTTTAATAAATTACAAAATTAAATCTTACCATATTCTGGTGATTTCTTATCATGTATACTAGAATTATTTATAATATTTTTTTTATTATCAACACCAACAGCAAATTGATTATTCCTTATATTTAAACCAACTGCTGCTGCTGTACTACTATTATGTGTTTGAACATAGTTATTATTATTATTTATTTCGATACCAGGATTAGAAAATCCACTTTTAGAATGTGTTGAACCATTATTTATTTGATTATTATTTGTGTTGTTGTTTTTGTTATTAGTTGATGATGTAGGTGTTGTTGGCACAGATGTTGTTGATATATTTTGTGGTTGGAATTGTTGGTTTTGAATCAACCACGGATACTGTTCCTGATTTTCAAAATTTGGATTCATCTGTTGAACATTATTACTATTACTAGTGTTATTATTATTATTTTTGGTTGATGTATAGGCTACACCACCATTAGTGGAATGATATTGTGTAAAATCGTTGTTGTTCATTATTATTATCTTTTTTTAAAAAAAAATTTGTATTGTTGATCAAATTATTCAATTCCGAATTCTTTTTATTTACGTAGTACAGATATTTTACAAGATTTAATATGTTCAAACTATATATTTTATCTTAATTACCTACCACATTGTAAATATAATAATACTTTGAAAAAAATCAAATATTAATTATAATGAAAAAAATTACATTATTATCACCTTTACTAAAAACAACAAAAGAAATAGACAACTATGTTTCTCAAAATTTTGGTAGTAATGATACAGCCTCACCTGAATACATAAAGGCTTCGTGGTTTGCTATAGCAAACTTATATTTTACCGCTCATGACTATAATAAAGCGGAAAAATTCTTACTTCAACTATTATATTATCAGCCAAATGATATAAAAGTATATAATATTAATATTGATTATTATTTTTTTAAGAAAAAAACATTTTAATTTGTTTTTTTTCAACATCAATTTTAAAAATAGGCAAACGAACTATTGGCTATTGTATATAGAAAACATGATAATTTAGAATCTGCTTTAGAATATTACGAAAGGTGATGGATAATTTTAACATAATAATAATGGTAATAATAATAATTAAACACATATATACTGACTGATACAATTTATATATAAACACTAGAGCTTTATCTCAAAAGAATGCTCCAATGAATAATGCATTTGATGGTAATAATAATAATAATAATAATAATAATAATAATAATAGGCAACAATCTTATTATTATTCTTCACTATTATAAAAAAAATAAGTAAAAAATATATTTAAAAATAATTATAATTATTGATATCGTAAAAAATAGTTGCAGAGATTTGTATAGAGTTGGCAAAAAAAACTACTGATGAGAAAAAAATTAAAGGATTCACCTCGAAAGCTTTATATTGGATTGATAGGTTTAATTTTTATAATAGATGTTGTGATGTTAATTGATTAATTCAATTAATCAAAATGAAAATTTTATAGGACTCATCAGATAACAAAAAAGTATGATCCTCGAGCAATTCAATTATTACGTGATACTTACACTATTATAATTCGTTATGCAGAACTTCAAAATGATAAACGTAGCTGCTTGAAGATACGTGATAAGAGTCAAAAAGGTGCTCTTTAACAAAAGTATTATTATAATTGTGGTTGTTGTTATTATTATTGTTCATATTGATACATTCTAACAGTAATCTATTATTATTAGTGGAACCAATAAAATGGTTGAATGACTCATATTTATCATTGATGTCTTTGCCTGAAACATTTATTGATCCAAAACTTCATATATTATTTAACAGAGCTCTCTTAAAACAACGTGATAATCATCGGTAAACATCTTGAAGTTTAATATTGATATTATTTTTTTTAAAAAAAAAGAAAGAAATCAAATCAAATTGTTTATTTATCTTTCCCAAAAACTTTATTTTTCAAAATAGAGCTTTTAGACATATTATTCAAAGACGTTACAATTTTATGTATAGTTTAGAATGGAACCTTCATCTAAAAAAATCATATGGTAATAAAACGGGAACAACAGCAACAGCAGCAACATCATCAAATACAACAACAACTACAATGCCTGATACCACTGAATTAATATTATTTGCATATGATAATGTACTTCGATTGTCATTGGATGAAATGTAAATAATAACAAAAAATATTATAAATCCTGATTTAAAATAATAATAATATTATTATATATTTATATGACTGATTTAACTATATTTTATATAGTTCATGTTCTTCTTCTTCTTATAATAATAATAACAATCTAGAAAAATTATTGGATGAATATATAGATCAAGTTGAAAAATGGGAAGAAACTTCTTTACTCAATCCTCAAACATTAGGCCAATGGTCTAAATATCGAAAGGTTTTTTTTTCTTTTTCTCTTTTTAAAAACTTAATATAAAGTATAATATATTGAAATTTGTTTATATTTTAAAAGGAATACAAATCAAGAATTTTAAGGCACGATGGTTTTCATAATTATCAATCAGCGTCATCTGATTTATCACTCTTCAGAAACTACAATAATAATAACAATGACAACAATAATAACAGTAATATTAATGGTTATGAGGGTGGTGGTGATGGTAGTGATGATGATGATAATGATGATGATGATAATGATGATAATGATAGCGATGATGATGATGATTACGATGATGAAGGTGATGGTTCCAAATCATTATCATTATCATTATTAGATAAAAATCAAATTTTATTAAATAATGCATATGAAGATTTCAAAAGTTGTCTTTCTTATAAAATTGACAAATTTCCTGATCCATCATCATCAGCATATCCACCTACGACAATAAATCATTTTGTTTACTTGATGTGTCAACGATTAAGTGATGTTTCTCATCGTTTTTTGACACTTTTAATGTGTTTTGATTATAATTGGTTAAACAATGAAAAAAAATACAACCAAAAAATTCTAAGATCTCAAATTATTAGCAATAATGAAGAAGGAAATAGTGACAGTGATGATGATGGTTACGACGATGATGACTATGGCGATGGTGATAATATTAGAAAAAATATTATTTTACCAAATTATAAAATTATAATTAAAGATTTAACTGAAAGTTATGGTAAAGATTTAATTAAAAAAGAAGAGTTGGATTTGTTAAAATGGATGAGTAAATATTCGCATCAATTTGATATGATTGCAATATGTTGTGCACCATATGATTTAAAGCGGTTGGTTAAATTAAAAAAAATTTAAATTTAAATAAATCTTTTTTTTTATAATTTATATAATTATAATTTATTTTTTGTAGGTTTTTAATGGGATCAGCTTGGCACTTTGAATCAGGAACATTATTAAACAAATGGCTAAAATATTTATTTCCAAACTTACAAAATCGTCCTCCTAACAACAACTACATAAATGAATTATTATCACTAAACACAAAAAATGAACAAGATATTGATAATATTGAAGAATTGAAAAGTCAAAAACAACAAAAAGATTTAGATGATTTAACTAATTTATTTCTTAATTTAATTATTACTAATACACCAAAACATAAACAATACGAAGATAATCAAGTAGAAGAAGAATTATTAGATAAAAAAAATTATATTAAAGAGTTATTATTATCATCAAATCACCAACAAGAAAAGGAAATGGATTATCAAAAACCTTTATCGCCTCCACCATTATCACCACCATTATCACCGATGTCTTCATCATCATTATCATCATCAATACCTTCATTATCATTATCATCACCACCATCAAAACCCTCATCACCCTTAATAAAAAAAAAGAAGAAAATAATAATGCCAACTTTAATGGATATAGAATTGTTTTTATTAATTTTATTAATTCAACAACAATATCATTGCGTTTATAATGAAAAAGGTGGAGACGGAGCAAATAATTTAGGGGAAGTTTTATATTTGGTTTCACATAGTGGTGGTAGTGGTGGTAGCAGTAAAAAGAATAAAAATAGCGGTTGGTGTCCTACAGAAAATCATTATAAATTTTGGAGAACTTTATTATCTTTACATGGTAGAGTAAGTAGTCACCATTTATTTTTATTTGTAATAGATTAATAGATTATTCTGAAAAAATTAATATAATAAACTATAACAATAATAAAAATAGGACGACCCAGATAAGCGAGTGTACACAAATGACCTAATGTCTAATGATGATTTTAAAAAATGTCTTGGAGAAATACGTGGTATTATTGATTTTAAAGAATATGATTATAATGGACAACAATTAAAATCTATTTTGAATATACAAAAAGATTTGTTTCAATTAATGGCCAATATCTTTGAGGTATGTATGGTGACATAATGTTAAAAATTTTCTTTTGAATACTGGTTATTTTTGAATGTTCATTAATGACTATTTATAATTTATAGAAATTGTATGAAAATAAAATTGTTAAAAGTGATTTCGAAGTAAAACATTGCACTGCAATTAGAAATAGTTGGGATTTTTCATTTTCTGAAAAAATTGATCACAAGGACGAGAATAAGGACAATGACGTTGATAGAGATGATGATAATGATATCAACGATGATAATGACGGCGACAAAAGCAATGACAAAAACAAAAACGATAAAAATAAAAATAAAAGTATTGAAGATGGCGAAGATGACTTTTATCATGTTAACAATGATGATGTAAGCAGCAACAATGATAAACAAAAAGAAAAATTTAATATTTCCAATAATAAATTCAGTAAAAATATTAAAAAAAGATTCTTGATTCTTGATGACACAATTAATAAACCAGGATATAAAATTTATCTCTGAACAAGTAAGTTAATTACTCAATCGAGCATGTAAAACTTATTTATTGTTTATTTTATTTTAGATCTATTTTAGATCTACATGTTTTAAATAAATAAAAATCATTTTTGAAGAAAAAAAAATTTTTTTGGATGAAATAATTCAAAGATGTGCAGAAGCATTATTGTCTTGAAAGATGTAATTACTTGGTCCAAGTCGAATTAAAAATGGTATTAAATTTTCGAGTATTTTGATACACGTTGCAGAATTGACACTTCCATCAACTAAAACGAGATAACCTATTCTATATTTGCAAAAACATTCCTGGACCATTATTCCTTTTGATTTTTGGACAGTTGGTTTTAAACACTTTGTATTTTTTCCAAATCCAATTTTTTGAAACACAGCCCATATCTTGACCCGTCGCTAAAAATCACACGATTCCATCAATCCATTCTATCCTCATATTTGATTTTATTGTGTTCTTTTTTACAACTCTTCCATAATAGCCTCTTGAACGTAAAGCACGCTATACAGTTCTAGTGCTTACTTCTATTGGTTTGACGATGTTGAATTCTTCTTTAACTTCTTCGACAGCTATTTTTCTTTTTTTTTTTTTTACAATATTTACTATTCCTCTTTGTCACGTTCATCCAAAATTGTGGGCCTTCCAGTACGCGATTTAGCAGTAAAGGGCGAATTTTAAAAATCTAGTATTATTATCAGAAACAGTATTCAGCTATCCCTCCTATTGTGTGCTTTTCACCTTTCCATAATCCATAAATAGCAAAACCTGCAAGTTCTCTCCCTTTTGTAATTGTTAATATTCAATATCTGACTTCAAAATAAGCCAATATTGTCGTTTTCAGAAATAGGTCTCAAAGTTTTGTTATTAAACTTTACAAATTTGGTATAATCATCTTTTATTTCGTTCAATTATTATTATTATGTAGAGTATTTTATTGGATATTTTTCAATTTTTTAAACATAATAATATTAACGATGTCAAAATGAGAATTATGACAAATTCATGAATAAACAATGTCCTTGCGTTTGATTCGAATAGAGAACGCAATAATAATATCAATAAATTTGTTGAATGAGAAATTTACCCAATTCAAAAATCATACAACCCATAATATCATAATTCAAATCTATTTGACTCTCCAGCTTGCAAATGCTATCACTGATATGTTACCATAATAATTTATATAATTATTTTTCAGAATCTGCATCGAAACCTATAAGAAATTTTTAGATAAAAAAAGTTTATAATATTAGGTATTATTTTAATAAGATTTCAATCGGCATTTCATTTCAATACAAAACTGGATTAATGCTGGTGGTGGCTGTGTATTAATATATGGTCGGTAAACGCAGATCATTTAATATGATGAGTGAATGATGGATAAGTGAAAATCATTGATATTTTTTTCTTTTTTTTTTTTTCATTTTAAAAAATAAATTTCGATAGTTGAATAATAATTCAATTACAATAACTCAACATCATAATAAAAATATTCAGTATTAAATAATAATTTAATGCAGGATAAATTTCTTATGGTTGAGTTGTAATTTGAAGAAGCGTTTCCTTGGGCTTGCAGCCGGTAAAAAATTTCCTTGGAACAGGACATCATCATAGAGGGTGATAATCTCATCCGTGACCGGTAGCACGTTCATATACGATACGCTTTCAAAGAGTCGAGCTGTTTGGTATTGCAGCTCCAATGGGTGGTAAACATCATCTAAGGCTAAATATTGGCAAGAGACCGATAGTGAACAAGTACCGTGAGGGAAAGGTGAAAAGAACTTTGAAAAAAGAGTTAAAAAGTACGTGAAATTGTTGAAAGGGAGGCACTTAAGTCAGTCGTGCTGGCATGGAATTCAGCTTTCGCATTACGGCGAGCCTCAAAACTGTCATAGTGTGTTCTGCCCTAATGTGGTGACGCACTTTTGTGTCAGGCTGGTTAACATCAATTTTGATTGCCATAAAAAGGCTGGAGGCCTTCAAAGTTAATTAATTAACGGCATTTAATGAGTGAATGCTGTTCACAAGCTTTGAAATTACTTATAGAAGAAAGAAGAAAGAAAAACGGGAATAATGAAGACATCAAACATATAAACTATATTTTTCATTTGTTGGTGAATTCATATTTTTTATAGATTTAATTTCTTTCGTTTTTTTTTTTTTATTTCCGTTTATTTGTTTTGTTTTTATTTTGTTGACTTGTGGTTTTTTTTAAATAATAAATAAATATACCTCTATTTAATAATATGGGGTGTGGACGGCAGTAACTAACCGTCATGATTTTGAGAAAAAGGGTTCAGTTTTCTGCACCAAAATTACACGCGTCTGCATAGTTGGTCTTTCTCTATGATAATCATGAACCTTCCATCCCTATATGTAACTTTTCGTCAGAGAGAGAAGTTAATTATAAAAATGAATTGGGGACAAAGTGAAGTTTGTTATAGAGATTTACTTAGAGTTCGTTAGAGTGAACTATATATATAGATAGTAATTAAAATATAATAATTAAAATATTAATTGTAACTTTGATGATTTTTTCGTTTGTCAAAAAATTTAAATTGTGCCAATATTAATTATATATGTGATATCGGAACATATTTAACATGGTAATTAATGAAAACACAATTAATACCACTATACCACCACTAATATTATTACCCACAACACAAATCATTATTTGATACGAACATAATACTATGAATTAACTTCACATTAGGATTAGGAAACTATTTTCAGAATTAATAGACGCTGTTATTTGTACAAAATTTATCAAAATTAATGAATTTTTGAAATAAAATCAAGTGTTTTAAATGGTTAAGATGTCTGAAATAATTACAAATATTCGGGTAGGATTACAGTCAGGAACCCGCTTTGCTGAACCTATTCTGAATGCGTAAATGAACAAGTAGGTGCTATTTGTATGGTTGCAAATTATCTTCAACGTGGCTTGAAATAAATGAATATGAACTTGAGAAACTGCATATTATCAATGCAATGATAACGAATAGTTAATATACATGTGATACTTGACATGCGGCATGAATAAATTTTTTAATCAAATTTGCTAAATCAGAAGATAACCAAGAAAAAAATCTCATACAAAAAATACTTGTGTTCTTTCGTTTGTGGGAAAGACAGCAGGCAGGGAAAGGAGGAGATAAGCACGCTTAATATCTCCTTAGCGTTCCCACCAAATAAACCCTCTCCAAGTCTCATATTTCACGAGACTTACGAAGCAAGGAGCGCGCCCAAGTTTCCGTTCCACAGATCGGGGAAATATAATTTTCTTTTCGTCAGCAGGAGCCAAGTCACCTTTTATTATATGCTTTATCAACTAATTTTTTCTTCGTTTTTTACTTCTAATTCTTTCTGTTGAATATCGATTTTTTGGGTTCATCAATCAATGTTTGCTCAGTAGTTTGACTTTCTGTTTCTCGCTGTTTTTCCAAAGACCTAGTAATTCTAGTTTCTTGTTCCAAGCGAGTATTATTGTAGGAGAAAGTCCTCCGAAACTAGTGTTGGTCACCAAAACTACTTTGAAGAGGCGAAAGTCACCAAGTTCATGGCCTTGCTGTGTTTCATGAACATAAGAATAAAAACTGTAACAATCGTCACGATTTTTGAATTTTATTGATATTATTCATAATCTACTTACCCCACGACTGCATTCCCGGGACATATGCATACGAAGATTACTTTCAATTGGGTGTGAAAAGGTTTACAGGATATCATCACCGATTGCCAGTTTTTAATCTGCAGTAGGTATCCTTATAAATCGTAATAAGCCAATTTATCGTCTTTGATAGTAGCGGCAAGACACCTCCTCCTAAATTCTCCTTTTATTGTTAATGAATAAATGAAATAATAGAGTATTAATAATCACCCAATATAACCATTTGTGAAATTATTTATAATTACAATTAACACTTAGCTGTATTCATATACATATAGATAATTAATTTAAATAATAAAATTTTTGGTATAACAATTAATTGCATCACACTTATTTTTTACCACAGCAAGGTGATATTAAATAAATACCATGCA